AATCCAAGACCTCGCAAGACTTTGTCAACTGTATATTAGAAATTGTTACGTATCAAGGTCAGATCTTAGACGAGGTAAAGTAGAGTAGTCGAAGTCGTATTAAATTATACAGACACTTTTAAAACTAAAACATTTAGATACAGTTTTGATTTTGAACGGAAGAATTCATTTGTCTTGGCTACGGCTTTTAATACTTTTTGAGGCGCAACTTGTTGCATATATGCCAAGGTTTAAATAGACTGCATCATCTGTGAGGTTGAAAGCCAAATGCTCAAATATGCTTGGGGGAAAGAAGACAAGATCTTCAATTTAGTTTGTACCGAGAAGATAATTTGATTGGCGGTCTTAATGCTAGAAGCAATACTCCCTCTCCTCAAGCTACGAAAATGGGTCGATTAAAAAATGACCGATTTTTCCAGGAGGTTTGAATTACCCTTTAATCGTTGTCCTTGTTGTCAGTGTTTCAGGCTTTATAACGCCGCAGAAAGATCTTAGAAATCAAAACAATACGTTGCGCAATTTAATACGACGTGCGACTGCCAAATAAAGCCTGATATATGTGCAGCTACGACGGGAACAACGGTTAAATTGTGAAAGGGTAATCCAAACTTCCTGATAAGAATGACTGCGTTTACATCGTGAAAATTTTATGTTTTAAGAGCCGAATGTGAGACAAGATCTCATGCGAGATGTAAAATGGCTTGGGTATTATAAGTCTGGAAGCAAAAGCATTGAGCTCCCAAAATCTCTCACAAATGTCAGTGCTTAAAATGATTTACATCGAAATAGATCCACTTGTTGAACTTTTCATCTCATCCTGACCGTGCTCAAGGCGCTCAGCAACATGGTAGTGAATTAATAAGAAATTTATGTCCTACACCGAAGTCATCCCGCGCACAAGGCGTATCTTCTTCCAAGCTGGATTATATCGCAGATTGTTTGTCGGCTGGGATAGAAAATATCGACGATATGTCGCAGTCTCCAAAATTTATATCTAGTAGAATGTCTGGTTCTAGTTGTAAGCTGTCTGCACTCATTTAGTAAGAAGTTCAAGTCGATGCAAATGACACTTTTGGTGATAAGCGACGACGAGAAGCAAATATGAAAGAAGAAAAGAGCTACGCCATGACGTGAATGCTGTCCAGAAAGTGCTTCAAATGTAAACGAAACACCCACAAATTAGAAAATGATTCAGAGAGGGATTCACGCCTGCTTCAAACGTAACCTAGAAAAAAAATTATTTAGCTTAGCGTCCCATAGTGATAGTGATTTTGGGAATCAAAACGATAGAAATCAGAAATAGGATATTCAACGATTAAAGTACTGAGTTTTTCGAATAAAGGAGGTCATACTGTATTAGGATTTTTACAACCGAGTTCAAAATTCGATTAGCGCTAGTGTCGTTGATATTTGCTCATCTTGAGGTCTAGCTCAACGTGTTGGATACTATCCGAGCATACAAAAACTAGCGCAGGGTTTGTGAGATCGACATGTCAGTAATCGCTTAAACATCCTGTGTCGGGCACGACTAGATAAAAAACATGCAGTTCTTGAGGTCTTTGTGCAACTCCGCAAAGTCGAAGTTGGACGAGCTCGAATTAAACGAGCCGACCGTGGAAGCACCGTCAGAGCCCTCATTTAGGAAAAAGCGCGCACGGGCGGCAGCTAAGTGCGCGTAATATGCGGGGGTCGCAAAAGATACGGAGCGAGTACAACGCGCAAACGTGTATCCGAGATGGTACGTGAGACGCTGCACTTCTTCGGCTGACATTTTATTCTCGTCGTGTAACACCGTGTAGTGACACGGGACGCTGGTGCCTTGAATGCCGCTGTGGCCGTATAGAAAGAAATCGAACCGGTGCGAATCAACAATCCCCGTGTCAATAACTGTGCCTGGAACAATATTACCCTTGCGATCAGCATCACGCGAATTACTGGGAAATGCTCGCATGTGGTGGCGTTTGTTGACAACAATAAATGTTACTGGTGGGTTGTAGCTATCCGAAATCATCTTGACAGCCTTGCGAAGCGCTCGCATTTCCGTCTGCAAAATATCGTGATACTGTCCCTCACTCACGCCGTCACGGTAGTAAATGACGTGCTCCGGTTTTCGGTTCGTGCTTTGATAGTAAGCTAAAAAGAGATCGCGCAGCATGTGCGGCAAGAGCTGAATATCACTTGAAGCCTTTTGAGCGGCCACACGTGCCACATACTTGGCCGAGTAGCGATCGAGCGAGGCTACCACAGAAGCTATAGACGGACGAGAGCCCATACCAGAGCGTGGGTGCTCCACGTCAGCTCCGATAATTATCGTCGGAGCCGTGCTGACTAGTGGCAATGGCTCGCGCAAAATCGAGTTCTTCCCGCTCAACTTCATGTTAATTTTGAGACATACGTTTGCGCAGTACTGAGGCTTCGCACCGCGGACATTCTGTGACACGATGCACTGACTTGGTATTCCTAGCACAGTGTCAGACATCCGCTTTATATCACTATAAGACCCCACACTTTTGTCTTGCTTAATCACCATGATTAATTGCGGAGAACCACCGTTGCGGTTTTTTAGCTCCTTAAAACACATTGTCATGAGCTCTTCCACCTGTGCACCACGAAACTGGTCCATGTGGACAATGTGAGGGCTGCTATCTTCAATTGTCAATCCGCTCCTGCCAGCTATATCTACTAGAGCACGAATAAATCCTTGAACATCACGCTCACTCACGCTGGCACTAATGACAACACCCCAATTACGCAACGTAGCGCCTTCGACAAAGCGCTTATCACGCAAATTCCATTGGCCACCTGACGGTCTTTCGGACACATTTGCATATTGCACATCAGGTGGATCCATCACACGAGCTTCAGTCGACTCAAGACGCTGATCCACCTTAATGCCAAAAGCAGCAAGGTATGGGTCGTTTTCGAAACCCGCCTGACGTATTTGTTCAATAATTGTTTCTTGTCGAGCGCGTGGAGGTTGACTGGTCTGCTTAATGATTTCCGCAGTATCCAGATCGTTTATATTTGCGCAACGCTGTCCTGGCGCCACTTCGCACAGTTCGATGGGCAACCAATTCTCTTTGCCCGGTCTTTTACTGCCCACATTCACAGATGGCAGCTGTGGGTATCTCAAATTCACATTATACCGCTTGTTGAAGTAGTCCGCAACGGACATGCTTTCCCCTTTGATACTCACCATCGTTTGGTTGGTCGGTAGTGAGCTGATTCCAAAGATTGCACGCTTTCGATCTTTTCGGTGCGTTGGCACCACTTCAATTTTACGTAATGCACGAGCCAGATTCTTTGAATCCCGATCTGATAACCCACGAACATCATTCGCAGAGCGTACATTGAGAGCTGGAAGCACAAGTTCTAACAGCTCTTTTGGAGCATAAAACACAGTGGCGGCCTGGTCCACATTCATCAAAAGCTTGCGGTCAGCAACACGGATGGCTTGGTGGTATCCCCAGCATAATTCCTTGCCTCCTTTTAACGGAAATGTCTTTTTCATTGAGAAAAAATTACGTCCAACTGAGATTAAACGTTGGGCACCCAAATGGCGAGCTGCCACATCCAATGCTTGTAGGACTGGCAAGACATTCACGTCCGGATTTGAGTAATAATCTGTCAATGAGCTAGTTGAGATTGCTTCAGCAAGTTTGATCTTGACGACAAAAGTTCGAGGTCCACGGACCGGGCGACGGGAGGTGTCACCTGCCGCCGGCTGAGGTGGTGGATGTATACTTGGTCCATCTGGATTGACATCTACGAAAGTCTTGGACTGTCCATTCCACGGCAGCACAGCCGGCGCATACATTGCTGACATTCCATCATGAACTACGCGAATACCTCCAAACTCGGTTTCGTACTGTCTGATAGCTGCATTGATAACATTTCGTACTAATGAGCGAGGAAGTGGACGCTCTGGACGTTGTTCACGTTTATTGGAAACCGATGCATCGCTCATTTCTACGTCTTTGACCTCATTGGTTTCCTTCACGTCTTTGACTTCTTGTTTTACTTTTCCCATATTATCATCCTTTTGGTTGTCTTGCACACCATCAGAAGGACCATACTTTGTGTCTGCAGCAAGGTCGGGCGAGCGCTCGACGTCAACGTGATACTTAAAAATTTCAGCTGGGGCCCCATCCAGCGAAACACTGAAAAAGTTGACCTGCAGCTGCATAGATTTGCCACCTTTTCCAATCCCAGGACGACGGCAAAACAGAAACTTCTGCTGAAGATCCGGATCTTCCGCACTTACATCGCGCACTCCAGCTCGGCCCATCCACTCGTCCTGGAGACGTGGATCCGACACATTATCATCAAAGTTCTCATAGCCTGAGCCAGTAACTGTCCCAACACCAGGACCTGACTCTCCACGGCCTCCACCACGTCCTCCACCACCTCCATAGCGACCGCCACCACGACCTCCACCGCCGTACCCACGATCTCCTCCTCGATCCCCTCCTCCATTACCTCCACGGCGGTCGCCGCCTCCACGATCATCGCGTCGTCCATACCCACGATCGCCACCACGGTCCCCTCCACGATCGCCACCACGGTCCCCTCCACGATCGCCTCCGCGGTCCCCTCCACGATCTCCACTTCCTCCGTAGCCGCGGTCATCGCGTGCACTGCCGCCACTATAACTACGATCGTCACGACCACTGTAGCCGCGATCTCCACCTGCAGACGAACTTTCAACGCCACCATAACTGCGACCTGTTGATACACTAGTGCTTCCTCCGTATCCACGATCTTCCCGTTCGCCACCGTAGCCACCTCGTGAGCGGTCGTCGTAACTGCTGTTATAGTATCCACGAGAGCGATCATCATAGCCACTCCCTCCACTGGCATAACCACCTCCTCCACTTCGGCTTTGATCGTACCCTCCTCGACTTTCATATCCCGAAGAGGCACCGTAGCCTCCATGCGAAGACGATCCATCATATCCTCCACGATCATCGTACCCGGATACATTGTATCCCCCGCTACTGCCATAAGACCCATTACGGCCACGATCGTCGTAGCCACTAGAGTTGTAGCTTCCTCGACTACTTTCGTAACCTCTTGACCCAGAGCTGTAACCTCCCGCACCGCCGCGATTATAGTCATCATGTCCCCATGATGTTCTATCATAATCACTACTACGGGAATCGAAACCCCCCCGCTGGTCATACCCTTGTTGCCCGCGCTGGTCGTAACCCTGTTGACCGCGCTGTTCGTACCCTTGATGTCCACGCTCATCGTACCCTTGGTGTCCGCGCTGGTCGTAACCCTGCTGTCCGCGCTGATCGTATCCTTGATGTCCGCGCTGATCATATCCTTGCTGTCCGCGCTGATCGTACCCTTGATGTCCGCGCTGGTCCTGGCCTCCACTGCTTCTACTGGGATCATCATATCCACGACCGTGATCACTGCCGCGCGAGCTGTAGCTGCGTTGATCGCCGTATCCACCGCTACCTCCGCTATAGCTCATATCTTGCTTTTCGTATAACAACTGCAATGGCGTGTAAAATAGTTTCGCGCGTATCTTAGAGATGGGCTCTAATTGGACAAATATCGTCCCATACCTTCCGTCACACTGCAAATGACATGAATAGAAAAGTCTTTTAGCCGAAAAGTTGCTCGATCAGAATGCATACCACGTTACTTGTACCTTAAGCGGGTAAAGAAGAAAACTAGCGAGATACCCGCAATCCAAAATTGATGATATATGGGCATCAACGACCAAAGTCAAAGAGTGGCAGACGTATGTTCAGAAAACTTTTGTGTTCCGAAGAAACTGACCTGATAGTTGAATTGTCGGTATATCTCTCGTCATATATTGTTTGTGGAGCTGTTTGGTGCTTTGTCTAATAACAACACGAATATTTAGGAGCTTTAGGAGCCTTAATCAGACATTCCTGGTAAAACAGTAAGCTTGTCTTATTTATATTAGACTACCCAACTAATCAGAAAATTTCTTTGAAACCGAAAACTTCTCCTCATAGAGTTCAACACATTTAAACCACTTCTTCGCTTCAGTCGTTGATGCCCATGTTCCATGCAATTTTGGATCACTGGGTATATCGCCAATCTTCTTCACCACCCACTCAAGGTACAAGTAAGGCGATATGTTCAGATCAAGCAACTTTTCAGGAGAAAGACCTTTCTCGAGGATGCGACTTGTTTTGATCATTTTCATGTGAGCGAGTAGGCGAGTGATCCATGACAATTTCTTCTTCGTTTTACTCATGTGGTGGAGTAATTCACTCACCGTTGATAAATCGCCTCCATCCGTCAGTAATTGCTTGTACTGTTTGTTCAAGTTGACGAAAAGCTTCAAAGGATGAACCAATTCACCCTTTTCTAGATACCCTTTAGTTATTGTGAATTCAGGATCAGCTTTTTTTAAAATGGACACCATACGGCCAGGAGTGTATCCCAACGCAAGTAACTTCTCTGGACTGTAAAATACGAGGGCCAACCCTGACCATAATAACTTAGAGCACAGGATCACATTCTGGATATAAGTCTTCATTCGAGCCCAAACGCTTGGTGAGACTACCTTCGATTCCGACATAATCTTCACCGCTCCTTCAACATTAACGCTCGGTCCTCGCTCTTCGCCTAAAACATGGACGTTTTCACCTCCTTGGAGCATACGATTAGTATTGCTGCTCCAATGGGCAGAGACTTTCAGCTCGGACTTCGAGTCATCTATCGAGGAATGTGCCGAGAAGACGCCATTGACGAGAAGTATGAGGATGAGCATAAAATTGCGCATTGAAGATACTTGTTCCAGTAACTGGCAAAGATGAGGTAGTCAAAGTCGTGAATGAGTAGTCGGATGTCCAAAACCTTATGGGTAAATTACATTTTTCTTAACTTTCTTGAATCTGATCAGGATGTGTTATTGTAAAGTTGTAAAGAATACTTTTTATTAGTCTTGACAATATATATGTTTAAAAAACTCTTAAGTTTGATAATATAATCTCTCAAAATAGTTCAGGGCATCGAATTGTAGTGTTGGTCTTAAGATTTCAAGATATTAAATATGCATATAAAATCTGTCAAGATAGGATGTTTGAAAACTATTATTACTATAATGCAGGTAAAGTGACCGTGATAATCTATCATACTTCGTGCTTGGTATGCGGATGTAGAGTGATGACACTGAGGGAAGCCTAACCCGATGGGTTATACAGTTATATATTATTTATTAAAATAAATAATGAGACAATACCGTGTCAAGATACTCAGATTTGCCAATACTTGTTCAATCGCTTGAACGCATTTGACTTGATACCTCAGCTGCTCCGAGGACTCAAGGATGCGCTGACTTCGACATGCGGGGTCTAGCTAACTTTATCATACGTAAGCACGTAGTCAATTCCATTAAAGCGGCATCGATATTGATAGCTCAGTATATGCTACTGGCCTTTCTAGAATATTATTTTGACTTACATTTGAGTTAATTTATAATATTTATGTTCTGAAAATGTTTGTATTTAAAATTTCCTTTTTTATTACTGTACTACTATTTACTAACAAGTTGCTGAATTACTACTATAATTTTGCTATTGGATGCAGAAATTTATCACAAGTATTATACTTATTTTCATTCATATTACAAAAACAATTTATTTTATGAATCGCAAATGATTATATTTCATATCGAGGTTAAATAATCCTCCAACAAAACCGCTTCAACAACAATCCATAGTTTACCCCACAAATTGCGTTACATTGCTCATGAAAACATCTGAAACATCAAAGTTGAGCTCAAATGCCCTTGAAATTTATACAAATTGAAGGTGATGTCAAAGAATGTAAAACATCTGATTCAGTAATAAATACATGCAGCACGATTCTTAACTTCTAAAAGGCTAAATCGTCATCATTTCTTGTACCATAAAACTATCCAGAATAAATGTTGCGCTCAAATTTCTAAAATATTTGGCTATTTATAATCAATATCATTTTGCTTTGATAGTAATAACTGGATCAATTCTCTCATCCATATAATATAATAATAATTCAAATGAAGGTGCAAAAAATTAAAAAAAACGAAATCTGGAATCTAAGCCCATATACATACACACTATGTGCAGCAACAGTTGATGGAATCTTTATTTGGGCATCAAATAAACAACAGCTCTAAATAACATCAAAACCATAAAATAGGGATAAAAATTAAGGAAAAGCATTATAACTAAAAATACCTTCCACAAGTCGAGGTGCTGAGGCTCAGCTGTTTCTTAAGAAGTAAAAGGAGGAGTAATAATATTTAAAAATACTTACTTCTTTATATAGTTTAGTTTATTTTGATGTAAAATTAGTCTTGCAAATTAATTTATTATAAATAAAAGTGCTAACATCAAAAACAGTGATGGGGTTTATGGAAAGCGAGAATGACGTTAAGCCTTATGAGCAGTTACAATCATGCTTAAAAATTGGAGCAAAATCTAAATATTATCTTAGCTCGGATTCAGAGTTGAAAGTCTAGGTAAAGCTATGTATGCGTTGCGAACACTCAAGCATGCGAATAATTGAAGCACATTATCAAGGAATGTAGTTCTACTTCTAGTACTTGATTTAGGCACTTCTGTCCTTCACTTTAGTGACAATATTCACAATAATGTAATGTGTCCGATGCAAAAATTTGGGAGAAAGCTCAAATTTTGCAATGTATTTTACCGTGGGTTTCCCATTAATAGACGTATCTCCAGCTCTCCCCGTTAGATAGAAATCCTTTTTTTTCATCAAAAAGCTTTCCTGAATTGTTCCCGATCATGAGCGCGCCCATCTTAAACTTAAACTTTCTGCGTGCCGGTAATCGCGGCACTTCCATCAACTATGGAGGCGCTATGCCGAACATGCATATGGCAGCTGTCGACGACTTGAGTCTAAGCGCCACAGACGCTCTGGCCGCCGGCTTCATGCTACCGCCTGTGGCAGACCCCGCAGCATACTCTCGCGAGCACTTTAAAGTCAAATATACAGATGATAACGAGCAATCGCTGAAGTTTGCGAAAGGTACCACCACCTTGGCCTTTATCTATAACGGCGGTATTGTCGTTGCCGTAGACTCGCGCTCTACAATGGGTCCATTCATTGCGTCCCAGCAGGTGAAAAAAGTCAACCCCATTAACGACTACATCTTAGCTACACTAGCTGGTGGTGCTGCTGATTGTCAATTTTGGCAGCGCAATTTGGCTGTACAGTGTCGTATGTACGAATTGCGCAATCGTCATCGTATCTCTGTTCGCGCAGCCTCGAAACTTATTGCCAACACGTGTAATTACTACAAGCGCTACGGAATGTCGCTAGGTATGATGATGATGGGTTATGATGACGGTGTGCCTGTGCTCTACTATGTGGACGACGAAGGTTCTCGTATTCCCGCGAGCAAGGATGTGCCCAAATTCAGCGTCGGCTCAGGATCTACTTACGCTTATGGTGTGCTGGATACCAACTGGCGCTGGGACCTCACGGACGATGAAGCCGTGGAACTCGGCAAACGTGCTATTTACCACGCGACTCATCGTGATGCATACAGTGGTGGCTTTTGTAACGTCTACATCTTTAAACCCGAAGGGTTCCAACACGTCGTTCACCAAGATGTTAAGGAATTGCACGACTACGATCGTGGCTATTAAGTGGACAGATCGTATACTCGCAAGGCGTTCGATTGCAAAAACGAGCAGCTGATATACATCAATACAAATTGACACTCTTTCTACCGCAATCACACTTATCTGCTCAAAAGTTTGCTCAATTTACACTTAAACTACCACCGCAGATCTACAAGTAACATTCCCACAAAACCTGCACCGTCCGCCACGTGTGTGTATTGATAGCCTTCAGCACCCAAAAACTGTTTCACTGCGGGTAGTAAACGTGCATTGCCATTTGAACCTTTTGAATGGTGTCCAGAACCAGTGACCAAGTGAATGCTATCCACACCTTCGTCTGCAAGCTTTGGTAACATTTGTGTAAGAAGTTCAACAGTTTCAGCAACGTGAAGTCCATGGAGATCCATCATTCGATCCATATAGAGTTGGTTTGGTGGGTTACGCGACTCGAAGATCTCAGACGCCGCGAGAAAATGAAAATTCTTCATCTTCACGTTGTATTCATGTCCTTGTCTTGACAAATCTTTAGCCAGCGCCTTGTTTCCACTGTGATTACAAACATCAGAGAACGTGAGATGATTATCCTTTTTCTATCAGTACATCTACTCCACAATCAAGTGATTCTTACTTGCGATATGCTTGAGTTGCGCCCATAAAGCACTTATTTCGAGCGCAAGCCATTTCATGTGCTTGCTCACGAAGCTCTAGATACTGACTCGACACACTCTCGCCTGTCGTTACCCACTTGACGTCGTTTTTTCCAGCTTTGTGATACAATGAGCGGTATATTGGAGGCGATTGTGGAACTCGTCGCGACGACTGCATGTCACTACCTCCATCATGTAGGCGACCAGAAAATTTTGTCGGTGCTGGCTGCAATGCCACCGCGCGAGCAAAGTTCATAGTCAAATTTGCCACAACATTTTCCGTCGATGGGTACGAGTTCGTTTTTGTCAAGGACAGACAATCATTACCTTGACGTAACAAAGGCACTGACGTGGAAGTGGCTGACGTAACGCTTTGAAGGGCTGGGAACATTTCCTCAGCTTGAATGTCCAGTAGTTCACTATTCTGATCCATCTCGTCTTCGCTATCGTAGTCACGCTGACCAAGGGCATCACCGTCCATCGAATAGTATTCACAAAAGTCGTGCGCAAAGACACAATGCTCTGCTTGCAAGCATGTACCACGCAGCCAGAATCGACAGGTGATCTTGTCCGTATCGTGGAGGAACTATAGCCACAGGAAAGCCAACGTGAGAGACGAATCGGATGCGCATTCAGCACAAATTCTCCACCAAGTCTCATCCGACAAAAGACAGACGCACCATGCAGTCTGCGCGACGACACTCTCCTTGTAGGTAATGACGGCAAACTTGTCCAGGTCCAATAGACTCGCGCTCAATTGTGGCCTTCATCACTGCATGCGCTTTGTCGACATCCAACCCGACAAGACGCAAGAGATCACATAGTCTATTGGGGTCGATATCAGGAAACTTGAGTTGCATGTGGCTCACCAACTGTTTGACAGATCACAAACTGAGCATTATCATCAATTGCTACGTTGAAATTAAAAGACAGAAGTAATGACGTAGTGACGCTGGATTCTGTCTCTACAGTACCTCATACGCCACAGACCAAAAGAAGCTGTCTTCGTTCTGCATAATCAATCCGTTTACTTCTTCTTCTTCGTCTTCGCCATTTTTATCACTTTCATAATCTTCACTGTCCACAATTGACAGCGAAGCCGGAGGAGGCGAAGTAGCTGAATAAGGCTGATCAAAACTCTTACCCAGCATTTCAGGACTGCCCGTTGGGTACAACGCGGTCACTACAGACGAAGATAATTTTCGTGGTACAAAAGTAGGTGCTGATGCTTTCAGCTCTGCGTCTTGAGCCAACATCTTGTTAATGTCGTCCTCGATTCGTTTGTCCCCATGGCTCAGGGCCATAGCTGCATCTGTTAGTTGTGCTGGATTGTCAGACAGCTTTGCCAATTCATCCACAAAATCATATGCACGCTCCTACTCATTGAAGGTAACGATTGTTTCACTTGTTTACCATTCCTTACAGTTATAATATGACAAGTGACCGCACCTCATCCTCCGGTGCTAACCAACCCATAAGCACTTGATGAATACTACATTTAGCATCCTCAAGATTGTCATCGCTACCACCGTGGGATGGAAGCATACCCACAATGTAAGGTGCGAACACGCCATCTACGCCTAAAGCTTCCAATCTCGCCATCGCCCACGACTCTAACAACTTCATCAAGCCAAGTTCTCAGATGTAGTGTTGAAAAAACTGGAGATAAAGCATAAGAACTCATGGAAATCTATACGATGCGATTTGAGAGGTATAAATTGTAGGCGATGAAGGACTTCGATGAATCTGCTTGTACCTTCTACATGTCGCTTGGGACGCTTCGGTCTTTGCCAAAGGCTGATTCTTACGTCAATCAGATGGCTAGGGACATGGATGTGTCAGCGCATTGAGTCTCGCCAGCTTAAATCGGTAGATAACAACTATCCAGCTTACGACTAGGGGCTACTTGCTACGAAGTATGCTTTAGTCAAGTTCGAAAGTACCACCATAAATCAGAGTCTTTCACGATCTAAACAGACTACACGAAGTTGCACACTGGAATGCCGTCACCAAGCTGCTCTTTGAGTATGGGATGATTGCTGTTTTTCATTGTGAGTTTACTTTCGAGGTTAAATGTACGCCGAATGTGTTGATTGCACTTTTGCGTCCCGACGATGAACTATCGTATGTCACTATGGTGGCGTCGCCGACTGATAAGAGGATGATCTAGCATATGGTTCAAAGGTATCATGTATTGTGCAAAAAAATTGAGAGCAAACAATTTGGAAGATCAGATTAATCGAAGTGTTTGTCTGAGCAGTTACATCGCTACTAAGATTTTCAATCAGATGACTTTGATTGTCGTAACACTTTAGCTGAGAGCCAGGGTGTACATGACAGCGATAGCCAGAAACACATGAAGATTTAATAGGAAAGAATGTTCATCAAAAGGGGCAACTGTACTTGTCAATAAGACTAAGTTGCGACCACTCATATAGTATCATAGTGGAGTATAAAGATGAATACTGGTACGAGTGAGGGTCCGCTAAGGGGAGGTCTGGTGCTGCCAGCCTCACGCTATGCAGTACATATTCTTTTTTTTGTTGATAGTTAAAGAGATGTATGTATTCAGTATCAGTTTTAGCTATATTTACTCAAGAATATATTTCATTATAGACTAAAAGCAAGAAAGACCTAGTCACTAAAAAAGGCTCTCGTTTTCGCTTTGGGAGTAAGTTACGAATAAATTTGCGGCACGTTTGTGTACGCGAAATCGGGGAGCAAAAGCAATGAGAGTATGATTGTCATACAGTAACCGTTCACTATGAGTGCTGCATCCTCTGTGCGAGGTTGTG